CTTTATACAAGAGAGAAAACAGAAGTAGGCTTTCTTCTGGTAAATTTGGTACCATAAATTATACCACGAACATCTATCTAAGACATGAGCATATTGGAAACAACGCGTCTTCAACTAGACGTAAAATTATGTTATAGGACAATTTGGCTTGGTTTGAATTTCGCGCAAAGATACACGAGGACTATTTGCGCTAGCAGTCCCCAATTTTTAGAAGTGATAGACTAGAGGGAAGACAGCTAGTCAACACCACCCACCGCCAACTCTTTTACTAACGAATGGTGGGATTTACCGTCACATTAAAAACATCTATTTAGTAAACAATTACACCAAGCCACTTTATTTCCAGAAGGTATAAGCACATATATATATAAGTAAATACTTCAAAAAGACGTATATTCCGATTTGATAATACCATGTCTATGATTTCCAGTAACCCTAATGATAATCGAACATGCACTTTTGTACAATTTTAACTGTATTGTCTGCACAAGAATTAGTGTTAGAATAATGTTATCAATCTAAGAAAATAATTTCGTAATTTTTTTCAGTCAAACCCACGACAGAAGAATGATATATACTAAACTTCTAACACATAATTGTAAATAACAAAACCCAACTAAAATTAACTGCTAGAACGAGGCATTGTATTTGAAGAACTATCATAAGAAACAAACAAAAACAAACAACACATTATAAAATGTTGCTTTAGAAAACACAAATAAAATACTTGGGATCAGTCATAATTCAGTGATCAAAGGTAAAACAGAAAAGACTTGTAACACGAGTGTTCAAATCCCAACATCCCGAGTCATACTAGGATCATTTGTGGTACTAACAGAAGATTATGCTGATATTAAACTGATACTAAATCGCATTGTAAAATTAAGCCAATCCTAATATAGTACCACGTGAAAATTATATGTGAAAATAAAAAAGCTGAGCTTATTACATTTCATGATCAGAATGGGTGACAAGTGCAATTTCAGGATTATCAACATACCTGTAGCACACAGATAGGTATAACAGATAGGAAATGTTCAAAGGTTTCACAAAAACGCAGTCCATCAGGAATGTATATAATAAGAAAAATAACAATTCAAAGCTTCATTTACTAACGATGAAAACACGAATTACATGGACAAAAGGTCTGACATGACAATAGACTGAAACGTGGAATACCGAGGTTTCGTTAATAGTGTTAATGTAAGGAAAGTGTATTTTGCAAATTATCAGTTTCTCATCCTCCTATGAAATGGATGTACAATTACTTCTTGTCAACAACCCAACTTTCTAAACGACAAAGACAATTAAAATTTATCACGACAGAAGAAACGTAACTCTATAATCGTGGCTAGGATTTGGATCGACCACCAGTATATATTACCTAAATATA